AAACTTAGCTTCCTTCTCAGTTTAAAGGACTCAAAGGATTCATCAGGAAAAAGAGGGTAAACTAAAAAGACACAACATCCTCTAGCAATTATTGGGAACTCATCTTCCTAATACGTGAATGTTCCTTATAGTTTTAAAAATGCTTTTTAAAAAACACTTTCACAAGTTCTGCAGTCTAAAGATCAACCAGATATTAAACCAATTATTTTACTTCAAAATATCATTTCCATTTAGACAAAAATGTGTATTAAAAGACTACTATACATCAAACACTGTTAGATGCTAAACATTCAAATAAAAATAACACATAGGTCCTGTTCTACAGACTTGTACAATTCACAGAAGGAAACACAAGAGACAAGACAATAGCATGTTCAGAATAGTAAGTGCAGATACGTGGGTATACACAAGATGCGATCAAACAGCACATCAGGGAAGTCTTCCTGGGGAACAGATAGCTTCAATGTAGACATTCAGAAAACAGGGCAAAAGCCACTTCTCACAGGGAAGACAGCCTCACTGGGAGAAGATACTGAGTTTACTGTGGGGCTATTGCAGTAGACGATCTGGAAGTCATCTAAGGAGAAATAATACATAGACATTTGTGGATGATGGGTGGTCTCTGGAGAGGAGTTTAGGCCAAGGAACTGACAGTCATCAGAGGCAGGTGCAGGTTAGATGAGATTTTCCAGGAAGAGTGCCAAAAGTCAGAATTGCAGAGGTCTCAGGGTATAATGAGAGAATATGATAATTAAGAGGTGATTTAAAGGATGATAAGGAGGATCCAGGGAAACAGGAGAAAAATAAGGACAGGGTAGTTCATCAGAAATAAGTGGATTACAGTGCAAATATTATCAGTAACTCAAGTCAGAGGCACTGAGAAGAACCCACTGGATTTGACCTTCTGCAGAGGTTCCTGATGGCCAAGATAAGAGGGTCCTAAGGGATGTACCGGAGGCAAGTGAGAAGCTTAGCTCCAAGTGTGAGGACACAAAGGAAGTGTCTCTAGGGTAGGATGCAGACTGAAGTCACGGTTGTTTTTTATCAGTTGGTTTGCACTTATGTTTTTAAGGTAAAGGACATGTTTAAATGTTAAGAGACAAGGAACCACTGGGGGCAGGGAAGCCCTGAAGAGACAGCTGAGCTAATTAGGAATTTCTAGGAAGAATCCTAAAAAGTATTCAAATCTGTGAAGAGATGCCCATTGTGGTGTTTATTGTAACATAACATTAGAAATAACCCAGGTGGCCATGAACAGGGCAATAGATATTTCTGGTCTCCACAGCCTCACCTCCTGTTTATTCCACACATCTTAAATAAAACTGTCTGAGGCCAGTGTGCATCTTGTATGTTATGGATTCTAACCTTCCCCATCACTAGGTTTTGGGATGACAGCATCATACACAGGCTTGATGTCATTCTCCCTGATGTCAGCTATGGGAAGAAAGAGCATTCACCACGGCTCATCTCTGGCTGAGTCCTTGCAGCTATCCAAAGCCTAGGCCCGCCTTGCAGTCCCGGATCTCTCAGAACCCGAATCACAAGGCTATCAAGACCATGCAACACTGCTGTCTTGAGAGAGGAAAGCTTGTGACCACCCACAAAGACCCAGGAAGGGCCCTACGGTCCTAGGAGAGAGGGAGGATGGGAGGATACATGAAAACTCAGCACTTTCTCTCCTAATGCAGAGCCCATAGCTCGGAGTTCCTGTGAAGCAGCCACAAAAGACAGAGGCTGGGGATCCCAGAGAGATGGGAGGGATGTGGGGGCCCAGAGGGCCCTGGTAGAAGTTCACTGTGTGCAAGAATCTGGGGGAGGCAGTGTATGACCCTCAAAGCTGGGTCTGGACTTCAAACTTGGCTCATTGATCTGCTGTGTAACCTTGGAAAACGTATTCATCTTTTTGAGCTTCAGTTTTTTCAAAATAATTTCTAAATAAACGGAATGATTTCTAAATGAAGGGAATAATATCTTCATTGAAGTTTCCTGTGAGATATAAATGGGGAAAGAAACTATGCAGGCGTGTCATAAATTCTGGCTGCTATTGCTGTTATTATTATGAGGGCCAGAGGGAACACAGACTATCATGAGGGCCAGACAGATCAATGAGCCCCTAAAATCTCTGATTCCTGAAGCAACAATTGATGTGAGCCTCCCCACCACTCACCCCGACGCTCTTGCGTCCTCCTGAGCACTCACCCTTGATGGCCCCAGCTCCTCGGAGACTCAGCAGGAAAGCCAAGGAGAGGGTTCTCAAGATCACAGCTCTGGTCTGGAACATTCTGTCTTCAGGGCACATGTTGTGGGGTCTATAACTGATGTCCGTGAGCACAGGAACAGTGATGAGGAACTGAGGCCGGGTGGAGGCAAATGAGACCCTGAAACTGTGGGCTTCTAGCACTGGAAATGGTCAAAATGGGTGGAGAGGAGTCAGCATGGCTGGGCTTCACCAATCAGAGAAATCATAGAGCTGACATTCTCTGTTGCTGGGTAAAGAGGATGCTGGAAGGTGCTGGGGAAGAGATGGGAGAATTTTAGGTACCAGCGTGGTCAAGAGACCTCCAGTTCACAGTTTGTTTTCAGAGTTAGAGAAAGAGACGTGGAAAGATAAGTCACACCTTCTTCTGATGGCAAATGTTTTCCATTATGTTCCTTCTCCCCACCCCCACCCCCATCCCAGGCAGTCAGATGATCTTTGATGGTTTTTGGTCACTATATTTTAAATCATGTTTTATGTTATGTTGTCAAGCTTACAAAAATATTCTGCTGATAATTAAGAATGAATGCTCTATCTAATAAAATACGTAATTAATCTTTCAGGTCCACCTCCCTGAGATATCTACTTTTAATGTAATCATTTCTGCAGAAGTGTTATAATTTCTATTTAGAGGTTTTAATTAACTCGAATGAAGTTGATCTTTAAGTATTTATCTATTCCTGGTTACCTTTGTTAGTGAAATTTCTAGATAACTTTTATTATTCAGATATCTTAGTATTTGACTTTTCCTGGTGTTTAAACAGGTATTTATCTTTAAATTACTAGTCATGTTATTTCATTTTCATATAAGAATACCCAGGACAGCATTACCTATGGTAACAATGTACACCCATATTTTGATGTTGTTTTTGAGAAGGGTTTCTCTAACGCTTTTCTGTAAAAGGTAATGTTCATTTTTTTATTTTTATTGTCTTTACCATATTTAAGAAAATACTTTTCTAGTCTCATTTTAAATATTTCAATTTTGAGCGATTTCTTCGACACTCATAGAGAAGATCACAAAACATTTACTATTTAATGTAATGATGAAGTACATAAATTACATTAATATTTTATCTTATTTGTGGTAGCCTTACCTTGCATAAATAACAATTACTAACAGATTAGCACATGAGAGATGCTGTTATTAGTGCTTTGCACGCATTACCTCATTTAAACCTCACATTACACCTGAGGGAGGTATTATTAATGTCTACTGTAAAAATAAATTACCTGAGACATCGAGGAATTAAGTATCCGTCTAATTATCTATGGCAGACAAATGATAAGGAGAAGCGTCCCATCCAGGCAGTTACTAAAAACCTGAGCTTTTCTCCACATTCCTTTCCTGGCCCCTCAATCCTACTGGACACCTTCTACTACATAATTATTTTCTTCTCTTGCATTTTACATGCTAGCCTTCTATTTACATTTTAATTTCGATTTAAAGAAATTATGCAGGCCGGGCGCGGTGGCTCAAGCCTGTAATCCCAGCACTTTGGGAGGCCGAGACGGGCGGATCACGAGGTCAGGAGATCGAGACCATCCTGGTTAACATGGTGAAACCCCATCTCTACTAAAAAAAATACAAAAAACTAGCCGGGCGAGGTGGCAGGCGCCTGTAGTCCCAGCTACTCGGGAGGCTGAGGCAGGAGAATGGCGTAAACCCGGGAGGCGGAGCTTGCAGTGAGCTGAGATCCGGCCACTGCACTCCAGCCTGGACCACAGAGCGAGACTCCATCTCAAAAAAAAAAAAAAAAAAAAGAAATTATGCCAATTTGATTCTTTTTTGAAATTAGAATTTGTGGTCCAACAGGATCACATTTACAAGTGTCTAAAGTAAGAAGTAATGTTCTTTGTACGTTTGTAAAAATATTCACTATAAACAAAATAGAATCAGATGCTTTGAAGGAGGTGGGGTCTTTGATGATTCTTTTTTCACTTTCTTCCTTATTTACTAGTCAATTTATATTCTCTATGGGCTTTATTTTTCCAAAGCAATTTTAGACCTATCAATCTCATTTGATCTTAAGAGCTTTGCTATAAGGCAGGTTCTATCATCTCCATATTGAAGACAAGGAATCGAAGTCCAAGAGAGGCGGTGTCCTTAAAGCTGCATACTTATATGGTAGGGTGAGCAGTGTGTTCATGCTCCCGGTATAAAGTCCCTAGACTGAGCCCTGCTAACCCTGATGAGAGTCCTGTGGAAGAACCTGGTATCTCCTGCACATTGCAGGACTCACAGACCTCTGAGAGAAAGTAAATATGAACGGGTGCTAATCTTAAACACACCCTTGGACAAAGAAAAGACAGACAGACTCCAGGCCTCAGTTGAGTTCTGGGATGGGTACTCTAATCCCTCTAAACCATGCCACTGACTGACCTTTTACACACTGAGATAGCATTTCTTCCACACCAGGCCATGTCCTGTGAGTGTGTGAGGTGTGGCAGAATTGGGGAAATGATAATCCCCGTAGATGGCCAGCAGAATATTTGAGATCAGCGTCAGAGCAAAGAAAACACATCATCTCCCCCAATCTCATGACTTACTTGACTGCTTAAAATGGGTGTCACCATCCTCCATCTGTCATCTTAACTGCATCACAGGTTTTATATTTTCAGACCTTTCACACTAACCATCTGCCCGGTGAGTGATGACTCATACAAAGCTCAGTGCCCATTGGTTCTTTTCTCAGACTCTGTCCAATCCCAGGGTCACAGAAGACTACTTGGGTTCATGGTCTCTAATATTTCAGACAGGAGCCCCCTTTAGTGAGTCCTTCTTTTCCTGACTGCAGCTCTTTTCATTTTGCCATCCTTTTCTGGCTCCATGATGGTTCTGCAGGTTTCTGCAGCCCCCAGGACAGTGGGTCTGATGGCGTTACTGATGGTACTGCTTACATCTGTGGTCCAGGGCAGGGCTACTCCAGGTAAGAGAAGAGCTGCCATTCCTGGAGGGTCTGGCTCAGGGAACAATTCCTTGGGGACTTTCTCTTTAAGGGATCAAATTCTGAGACAGGCTGCAGGGGCTCCCGCCCTAAGGCAGTGTCCTCCCTTCCCAGCTAGAGAAGAGGTTCATCCCGTATAGAATAGCTTGCTACCCTACAGGCCTATTCTCTCTCCAAGGACATGGGTACAGCAAACAGAGAGAGGTGCCCAGTGGTCAGTATGCTTGTCTTTGGGAAAATGGGGCCAAGAGATCCAGGATAAACTTGATGGACAATGTTTACAGAGAGAGAGGTTGGCAAGTACAGGCTCCTGGGCATGCTCACATCTGCATCCAGCCTGGAGGGGACTCAGGCAGAAAGCCTTAAGCTGGAGTGTCCAGGCTCTGAGGATCACTGAGGATTCAGTGCTCATGAAGAATGCCTCTCATTCCCCAGGGTGTAGCAGGAGCCCATGTCCTTTGGACAATGAAGGCAAGATGGGAGGGCAGGTTGGGGACAGGTTCTAGACCCTGAAGGCATTCTCATTAAAGGTACTTCTCCCAGCCTCCCCAGAACTTGGTGAGAGTACTAGAGTGGGTTGAGACTTGTAGGAAGAATGAGATGAGGTTGTGTGGGTGCGTAACAGGGATTGAGTGCAGGTTGTCAGACAGCTGAGGAAGCAGTAACCGAGTGAAAAATATCTTCTTTCTGCTGCCTCCCTGTGGCTGGTGTGATATTATGGCATCTATGATCCATTGTTTTTCTCTCAGGATACTCTCAGGATATTTCTAGTTCAAATTTACACCAACACTCTGAGAGGAAGGACTGCAAAGTAGGTACCTTAGTTTTCCACTGACTTCCACCTTTTCTGCTTACACCCTTCCTCCTAGACCCCTCCACACCCCTCCTAGAACACACCTAGAAGGTACTGACATCATGTCACCTCCTCATTTTTCAGGGTAGCAAGGTTGGACTCTCCTGAATACAGCCCCTCAAACCCTAAAACCTCTTATCTATTACCTTGGGTTCATTGTCCGGGAAGGGTAGGAGAACTTGAACTTGTAGGCACAGAGGGATGCTGAGAACTAACCAACAGGACAGCTTAGCCCTGGGAACTGCAGAGGGGTGAGGCTGGGGAGAAAGGAGGCTGGAGCAGCGCAGGTGACACTGAACAGTGTCCAGCAGAAGGTGAGGGGATGCGGCACCCCCATTCTATAGGCAGAGCTGTTATGTGGGATGAGCGACAGTGTTGGGAGCCACCAAGGAAACCCAGAGGTTGGGGAGCAGAGAGCAGAAGGGGGCATGTGATGCTGGCAGTGAACAGGAGGAGGGGCAAAGGCTGGGTTGAGGTTGGTAGGGGGAATGAGATGAGGCAGTGGAGCCATGTGACAGGAACTGAGGGTGTGTTACCAGAGCTCCCTGCGTAGAATGAATGTTCAATCAAAACCTGCTGGAGGGAGAGCTGGAGCCATAGGGGAGTGGGTAGAGAGGGCAGGGCCGATTTCACAATGCCCTGCATGCTCCTACAACTCCACACACATCCCAAACTTCAAACAGGGCACAAGAGAAAAAGGCTGAGGAGCCAGGCTGTGGCTTAAAGAGGCTGCGGGAGGAAAGCTTGGCTGAGACAACCCATAGGGAGCTAGAGGTTTTTACTATCTTCTGTTCTGAGTGAGAGATGAATTCATTCAGATCAGTGGTTTCAAACTGTGCTCTGGGCAACTCAATTGTTAAGAAACAGGGTAAAGTTTCTTATATACCAAAAAAAAAAAAAAAAGAAAAAAAAACCATGAAGATTTCAAATTATACCATAAAACCCCTCATCGCTTATATCTACTTGGCAGGTAAAATTCTATTTCAAAAGTTAAATGTATTTTTAAAATTACCTAAGACTGGGTAAATAAAAAAGGAATTAAATGCCGCAAAGAAAAAATTCAAAATTCTTATTCTTGAGTGAAAAAATGTTCTCTTACTGGTGATTGAAGAGGAGAAACAAAGACTAACAAAAGAAAATGGGAGAATCCACACTCAGAGCAGGGCAACTGAACAGGGAGGGGCGGGTGGATGGCAGAGGAGGAGGAATCTGGTCTCAAGGAGCTGGGAAGCGCTGGGCCTGGAAGTTTATGGGGCTGGGGCCCAAGACACCAGGAGAAGAGGCAGGTCAGGATATCTGAGTCAAGGCCTGGGATCTTGCCTTAGCAACGACACTGGAGACTAAAGGTGGACTCTGTGGTGCCCCTGAGCCCGGCACCACTCCATCTCCACTGTCCTCTGCAACTAGCTATGCAGCTTTTGTGAGGGGTGATGTTAATAACCTGGAGAAGTTAATTTGTGGAGCATGAAACAGATGAGCAGAACAATCACAGCGCCTTAATTTCCCCAATGTGCCCAAGAACAGAGCAGGCCTGAAGAGACTCAAACAGAAACAAACATGTGCCACATCACTAATACTTCTGTGTAGACACACACCTGCCAGACACTGCTCATTGCGCTCCCTAGGAAGAACAGCATGTGGGAAAGGCTGCCAAAGTTCTTTATGTAAAAATTACATCAATGCTGTCTTCCTTGGTGCTGCCTATGGAGCTGGCAGCCATCTCTTCCTCCGCATCATGGCCTCCCTCAGACTCCTCATGCAGCCCAAGATCCTCAAAAAGAGGACCAACAAGTTCATGCGGCACCACTCAGACTGAAATCTCAAAATTAAGTGTAACTGGTAGAAACCCAGAGGTCTCGACAACAGGGTTCTTAGAAGGTTCAAGGGTCAGATCTTGATGCCAAGATCTTGCTTATGGGAGCAACAACAACAACAAAAAACACATGCTGCCCAGTGGCTTCCAGAAGTTTCTGGTCCACAACATCAAGGAGCTGAAAGTGTTGCTGATGTGCAACAAATCTTACTGTGTTGAGATGGCTCACAGTTTCCTCCAAGAACTGCAAAGCCATTGTGGAAAGAGTCACCCAGCCGGCCGTCAGTCACCAACCGCAACGCCAGGGTGCACAGCGAAGAAAATGAGAGAAAGTTCACGTCCACGTTTTGTGTTTAAATAAAACCATAAAAACTGCCCAAAAAAATTAGATAAATTCCTCTAAACCCAAAGGACTCCACCCCAACAGGTCCCTGGTGGTTGTGGTGATTTTCATTGTTTAAAATATTTTCCACATCTTTTGACACCAAGTCTTTCTGCAGCCATGTTTGAAAATTAACTTTCAGGCTACAGAGTTTTTCTTATACCAAAGTTGAAGAAAGTTTTAAGAAATATATTTCTACATTTCCTAAATGCAAAACAACAGGAGCAGGTTGAGGAATTCTCAAGGAACTGGTAGAGAAGAGAGAGCGCCTAGCTATGGAAAAGAGAAAGAAGGAAGGGAGGGCTTCCTGGAGGAGGTGGCATTTGAACCAGGACTAATATCAGGATGGAAATGTCAGTCAGGGAGTTGAGTAGGGGGAGCAGCTCCGCCCTCCACATCCCCAGCTCCTCCCGCCCCTGGTTTTTCTCCCAGCGACCCCACGTGAAACGTCTCCCACTCCTCCTCCAGCTGCCAGCAGAAGGGACTGCCTTCCCCTCAGTGTTCGCCCCTCCCTAGTGATCACTCAGTCCCCCTGAGCAGTGAATCTCATTCTTTTCAGTAAATTCTCTCTCTGCGTGGTGAGAAAACAGGCCTGGAGAGGCTCTGAGACCTGCCTAGGACCACGGAACTCGGTACTAGGAAAACTCCTATTTTAAAATCCAGTCCTGAGTGGGAAGATTTGGGAAGAATCGTTAAAATTGAGAGAAGGGGGAAGAAAGGGGATTAGGTGAGAGTGGCGCCCCCGCTCATGTCCGCCCCCTTCCCGCAGAGAATTACGTGTACCAGGGACGGATGGAATGCTACGCGTTTAACGGGACACAGCGCTACCTGGAGAGATACATCTACAACCGGGAGGAGTACGCGCGCTTCGACAGCGACGTGGGGGAGTTCCGGGCGGTGACGGAGCTGGGGCGGCCTGATGCGGAATACTGGAACAGCCAGAAGGACATCCTGGAGGAGAAGCAGGCAGTGGCGGGCACGAGTTGCAGACACGACTACGAGCTGGACGAGGCCGTGACCCTGCAGCGCCGAGGTGAGTGAGGGCTTTGGGCCGGGGGTCCCAGAGCAACCACGGGAGCCCGTGCCCAGGGCGCAGAAGCAGCCAGGCCGGCCTAAGGGACCTTAGTGCCAGGCGGAAAGGGGACTTTGGGCTGGGGATTCGTGGGGGAGCCCATCTGGAGCATGTCAGGGGAGGGAGCGTGCGGACCTGGACTGGGCTGATCACGGAGTGAGGAGGATGGGAGCAGAGAGAACCCCTGGACTTCATCAGGCCTGGCAGCTGACTGCATGTGGGATGAGAGGAAAGGAGGCCACAGGAGACCGTGTAGGCGTGTGGTGTGGAGATGGAGGTGGAGATGGCACAGCAGGCCAGGCAGAGAAGAAACCTGCAGGGAGACCCCTGGGTTTGAGATGCTTGAGGGGCCAAATGGATGGTCTGAGCGGAAGGTAAACAGAAGGGTCTGCAGCCAGGGAGGAGACTGGGCTACATGAGACCACCCAGGGAGAGGGACCCCGGGGGAAGAGCAAAGGGCTGGATCCCAGCAACTGGACAGTTGTGATTTGGCCAGGACAGAAAAGTCTGTGAAAGAGACCAAAAAAAAAAAAACAAACAAACAAAAAAAAAAACCAAGTGCAGTGTGAGGAGAGGCCCTCAGAGAAGAGTCCTGGAAGTTGAGGAGAGGGGACCTCAACAGTGTAGTGGACAACGGTGCCAGTGACTTGGAAAGGTCAGAAAACAGAAGACGGAAAGTGGGTTTGGAAACCAGGGACACCTGGGGAGAGCAGGTTGACTGCAGCAGTGGGAGCTGGAATGGGAGGGGGTGGATGAGGCTGAGTATGGCGCATCCTCCTCAGGGCTGAGATGGATTTTGTTTGTCTTGGGCTCCCCATGGCTGGCACAGGGCAGTGTCTGAGCTCATTCATTATTTCCTTCAGGAAGTCTGGGTGTAAAGGGATGGAGAGAGGTGAGATGTGTTCAGTAAGAGGATTTCTTAAGGATGAGACAGGAGGGCCTTGGAACTTTGGCTTCCTCCTGTGAACTTGTGGAGTGGGGAGCCTGGTGCACCAACCTGAGGGACCTGAGAGAGCAGCATCAGGGTGTGGGGTTGAGCCCTGGGACTTTTTCCTAGAGACAGGAACAAAAGAAGGGAGGAGGAGGAGGAAGCTGGGGAGATCACATCTTTGATTTCCTTGTTCCTGGAAAGTGAAAGGAAGTGCACCTGCTAGGAGTGAGAAGGTGGACATACTGGGTGGGGATGAGGTGAGTGACATGAGCTTAGGAAAGTTGCTGAGGTAATGGTTGAGAGAGGTGCCCAAAGAAAACTAATGCAATTGGCGAAAACTGTTACTAAGACTTTGTAGACGCACAAATCAGCTACGTGGCAGCATTTTCTTTCACAGTAATCAACTGCCAGATTGCAAAGAGCCCTGACGCCAGCCTAAGGAGTGTGGGTTTCTCCTCTAGACCTGCAGGTCCCCAACCTCACTTCTCAGAAGACTCTCCTGGAGATCCTCTGTGATGCACAGATCCCCAGACTCGCCGCCCCGAGACTCAGATTTCCTGGGTGGGGAGGTCTGGGGATCTGTTTGTAATCAGCTCCCTAGAGGTTCCCATGTAGCCAGATAAGTATTGTCAGAACACTGAAGATTTTTGAAAATTGAAAAAGAGAAAGTTGGAGCTGTGTCTTCAGAACACAATTAAGGATGCTGGGTAGAGGAGGGACGAGAGGCAGGGAGATGAGGTAGGAAACTGCTATTATTTGTCAGGGAAATTGCAATGAAGGCATGAATTAGAACAGGGAAAACACAGAGGCAGGGGAGAGGTCGGAAGGGGGAGGAAAGGGAGTAGTGACAATTCCAATGTGGATGCCCACCCAAATCTAGAAGTAATTGAGCAAATGTTTTCTGGGCATTAGAGAAGGCAACTAAAACAAACAGGAATCATTGCCTTGGTGAAATGTATTTGAACTGGGTCAGAAATGAGGCCATTGGGTATCAAGCCTTAGCTCCAGTACCCCCTGGAGGTTGCTGATGTGCTCCAGGCTGACCAGCTCCCATCAAAGAATATTGAGCAAGATGCCTCTCATGGAATGTTCTAGGACCTTAAAACAGACACTCAAGTATTCCCCCTGATTTCATGGTTCCCACGAGCTCTATGGGGAAGAAATTGTACATAATTCACAACTGAGATTTAGACATGGGTTGAATAGTCTAATGGATGCCGAGTTTACAGAGGTGATGAAGTACTGAGACACAGGTGCCCCTGAAATAAACTCACATTGAGGGAAGAGGTTGGCAATGTGGATCAGTCTGTGAACAAGGCAAAAATACAATAGGGAGTGAAGGTTGTGGGTCAGTTCAAGACTGCTTTCACCTGGCCCAGCCCCATGTCAGGGTATTTTTGTTCTCCGGAAGTAGAAAGGAAAGAACTGAGTGATTAGGGACCTAGAAGACTAATTTGAGACACATCTCTTGATGAGATGTTCTCTAGGGGATTCCTCTGAATGAGCTGTTCTCTATTGGATTTCCCTGAATGAGCTGTTCTCTAGGGGCACTTGACCCTTTTCTGTGTTCGTTTTTTGTTTTGTATTTGTGTTTGTTTTTGAGACAGGTTCTCACTCTGTCTCCCAGACTGGAGTGCTGTGGCACCATCATGGTTAACTGCAGCCTCAACCTCCTGGGCTTAAGTGATCCTCCTGCCTCAGCCTCCCATGTAGCTAGAACTACAGATACAGGTACCACCATGTCCAGCTAATTTACTTTTCTTTTTAGAGATGGATTCTCACTATGTTGCCCAGGCTGGTCTCGAAACCCTGGGCTCAAGTGATCCTCATGCTGCAGCCTCCCAAAGTGCTAAGATTATAGGCATGACCACCCTGCCTGGCCTTTTCTGCCTTCTGAGGAGGAAAAAGGTACTGGTGGCAGAGATCCAAAAGCACAGTTCCTAGTGGCAGTTGTGGAAATTGACCTGAGAACAACAGAACAAGCTGGGGCACAAATCCAGAAATGCAGAGGGAGGCAACACCTGGTCATCTGTGAAACCTTCACGGGACCTGAAGACACAGCACAGAGGAGGAGCTTGGAAAGGACGGAATTTCTACTACTCAAGAATCTGGGGCTCAGGATATTATGTAAATATGAAGATTTTGAGTTTTTGTAGGTGAGGTAAAAAAATACATAGGTTATTTACAGAATAAGACATGTCAAGCTCTCTTCATTTTCTTTGTATTTTCATGAAATAAAGTTATTAGATTAACAGGCCACCATAATTCCATTGTCTGTATATCTTAATTTCAAGATATTATTTGAGTAAATTTTGCATCCTTTGTATCAAGATAGAACTTTGAAAAGATAGGTAATTTCACAGTTGGTTAAATATTCTTCGCCCAAATTACTTTAGTTAAAATTTCTCCTAAATGCACTACAGAGTGCAAACTGTCTCCCTGCCATTCCCCTATATGCTTACTAATTATTATTTTATTCAAGATCACGCATGCTCTACTTGAAGGTCTGTTTCTGTCTTTTCAGTGCTACCCCTACCCACTACACTAATCACATTATTCCTATTTTCAACATCTAGGATCAATTACATAGTGAACATGCCTAAGAAATAATGATCTGGCCAGAAGCAGTGGCTCAGGCCTGTAATCCCAGCACTTTGAGAGGCCAAGTGGGCGGATCCCTTGAGGTCAGGAGTTGGTCAAGTGCTCCTAGAGAACCAGCCTGACCAACATGGAGAAACCTTGTCTCTACTAATATTACAAAAATTAACCGGGTGTGGTGGCAGGCACCTATAATCCCAGCTATTCAGGAGGCTGAGGAAAGAGAATTGCTTGAACACAGGAGCTGGAGGTTGCAGTGAGCCAATATTGCGCCACTGCACTCCAGACTGGGTAAGAGAGCAAGACTCCATCTCAGCAAAAACAAAGAATGAAAGAAAGAAAGAGCAAGATTATGCCTCAAAAAAAAATGATGGAAGGAAGGAAGGAAGGAAGGAAGGAAGGAAGGAAGGAAGGAAGGAAGGAAGGAAGGAAGGAAGGAAGGAAGGAAGGAGGGAAGGAAGGAAAGGAGGGACAATCTCAAACGCTATTTCATTATTTTTCTTCTCCACTCCTAGTCCAGCCGAGGGTGAACATCGCCCCCTCCAAGAAGGGGCCCTTACAGCACCACAACCTGCTCGTCTGCCATGTGACAGATTTCTACCCAGGCAGCATTCAAATCCGATGGTTCCTGAATGGACAGGAGGAAACAGATGGGGTCGTGTCCACCAACCTGATCCGTAATGGAGACTGGACCTTCCAGATCCTGGTGATGCTGGAAATGACCCCCCAGCAGGGAGACGTCTACACCTGCCAAGTGGAGCACCCCAGCCTGGACAGTCCTGTCACCGTGGAGTGGAGTGAGTTAGTCTCTGATGACCCTCTAGACCCCACCTCTGAAGAGCAGGGACTCTCTGGCTCTGGGGTCCACTCATCTTGTCTTCTGTGTCTATACCCTGGGGCCATGTCCAACGCCATCTTTTTTCTGTACAGGCTCCTGAGCGTAGTTTCAAACAGGGGCAATGGAGACTTGCCTGACCCTGGCCTAGGGGTCCTAAGGATTCATAGTTCCCCCACTTGTCAGAGAATCTAGGGACACAGACACCTTCCTGAACTGACCTCACACATAGGAACGGATCTCTTCCTTCAGCATTTTACCCTCTTCTCAGGCATTTTGAGAGGCAACTTCCAGAATCAGCATTTGCCACCTGGTTGAGATCACACCCTCTGTTCCAGATATGAGGGTGACTCTTTCTGAATTTCCTCTTAAGCCAGCTTTTCCCCTGGCACAGTCCTCGTCCTAATATTCTGCATCAGGCTCCAGAATTTCAGACAGGACTTGAATAGGGGCACAGCTGATGAAGGTGACACTAAACCTGGGTCTGTTCTTCTCAGAGGCACAGTCTGATTCTGCCCGGAGTAAGACGCTTACGGGAGCCGGGGGCTTCATGCTGGGGCTCATCACCTGTGGAGTGGGCATCTTCATGCACAGGAGGAGCAAGAAAGGTGAGAAGACCTGCAGGGTGAGCGGGACTTACCTTCCCTGGCATATTCACACTTACTCCATGATGAGGGGTTCAGACAGAAAAGAAAAGTCAGAAAGCTCTAGAGGCCACTGAAATCAGATAGTCAGGGAACAAACATGACCTATAGCGAGAGAGGTATCCCAGGCTGGGATCTTAATGCAGCCAGATGCATAAGGTCCCAAGTACTCAGGCTCCTGCGAGACGTCCATTGAGTGATGGCCAATGGAAGTTGGTGGGATGGAAATGTTTCTCGAATTATCTGAGGTGGTTTCAATGGCTGAATACAAAACCTTTCCTCTTTCATTTCAGTTCAACGAGGATCTGTATAAACAGGTAATATTCCTGCTTTGATTTCCTTGTGGGGTGGGTTGCAGGAGGATATGAGTCCTTTCTGTGCAATGTGGCACTGAGGCTCCTCTAGGAAGAGAATCTCAGGCCTGAATCCCTCTTTCAACCTCAGCTCTCGGGTGAGTGGGGAAAGAGCATTGCATGGCTCCATTGCTGAAGGAAGCAGAGATCAACTCTGTTCTTTATCAGCCTGAAACTCAGCCTCTCACCATAATTTTTCTCTCTTGGACTTAAAGGAAGGAGGCCTGCAACCTGAGATAACTTGTCCTTTACCCCCACAGGGCTCCTGACCTCACCGAAAAGACTAATGTGCCTTAGAACAAGCATTTGCTGTTTCGTTAGCACCTGGTTCCAGGACAGACCTCCAGCTTCCCAAGAGGATACTGCTGCCAAGAAGTTGCTCTGAAGTCAGTTTCTATCGTTTTGCTCTTTGATCCAAAGTACTGTTTCTCTCATTGGGCCTCCAACCATGTTCCCTTCCTCTTAGCACCACAAATAATCAAAATCCAACATGAGTGTTTGTTTTCCTTTAAAAATATGCACCAAATCATCTCTCATCACTTTTCTCTGAGGGTTTTAGTAAACAGTAGAAGTTAATAAAGAAGTTCATTTTGGTTTATATGTAGGAAAGAAGAGAACCATGAAAATGGGGATGTGTTAACTATTGTATAATGAGGCCTGTTAGACATGCCACTCTTCTGAATTGACTGTATTTCAGTGAGCTGCCCCCAAATCACGTTTAGTGCCTTCCTCCATTTAGGTCTCTGACCACTATTCTTAGCTATTCCATAGTGAGCAGACTGCAAATCTGCCTGATAGGACCCATATTCACACAGCACTAATTCAACATATACCTTACTAAGAGGATGTTTTATCATTACTATTAAGAAGTTAAATTAATATCAGAATTTAAAATTATAAATTTTATAAATCTAATACACTTTAACCATTTTCTTTGCATGCCATCACAAATACTACTTAACCAAATATGACTTGGCCTTTCGAATGCATCCAGTAGACGTCATTTGTCGTCTAAGTTTGCATTCATCCACCAGCCTAGACCTCCTGTCTTCATTTTCATACAGATAGAAATGCCTCCACACTAGGGAAAGAGCAAAGAAATATGTGTAGCACTTTTCTTCAAACACTGGCCTTTTTTTTTTTTTTTTTTTAACAATCCAACATTGTTATGTGTTTTGCGTCTCATATTGACACCTTTCAGTCAAGGTAGAGGACATGTTTGTTGTAAACTTTCTTTTTTGTGTAGAGGATGGATTCTTCACTCCTGATACACATAAGCAGTGCACAGCAGCTCTCTGATACATCCAGTTGATGCCTTCAATCTCCCTGGCTTCTTACAAGCATCTTCTGGGCCTTGTGTGTCCCTGGGCGCCTGTCCCTGGTCAATTCGCAAAAACTACTGTGCTCCTCTTGCCCACCTCCCCTTGCAAATAATATCCACCATATGGGGACCAGCTGCCTCCAATTCCAAGAGAGGTGGGGCTGAAGGTACAGACTGGGCTTCACTGGCACAGATATAAGTAAATATAGCTGGAGTCTACAGAGAGGATGGACTAAGTGAGGGAGTCAGGAAAGAGAAGCCACCCATAAGGATAACAAATTATGTCTCATAATCCTCTTAACCTAGGGAATAGGACGCAATCATTTTTTCTTTTTAAAACATCCTTATCCCTGCTCAGCCTCGTTTCCTCAAAAACTATAAAGGAAAATGCTACTGACTTGTTTCTGTGTAGTAATTTCAGCTGTCACATAATGAGGTAATGAGGCCAGTATATAGTAAATAAATGAGGACCCTTTATCTGTCTTATTTTCACTTTGGCTTCACAGGAAACTTGTGAGAAACCTTTGCAGCAGAAAATTAATATGATTTTAATCCAGGGATTCAACGATGGAAGGAGGTCATGAGAATAGCAGAAAGTCTTCAAATTGAGATGACTATGAAATCCTCAGAGCCAGGGCACATAAATTCTACCCTCAGAGCCACGGAGCAGTCAACATTCCAAACCATATCCCATCAGAGTCATTCTGTTCCATGCTTGTCACCTGTACCCACGTTACAGGTTAGGGAGTACCCAGAGTGGAGTGAACAGTCTCTGGACTAACACCTGGCAGGATCAGAAACTGAGGGATCTGCACCCACATTGCAGGAACAGGATATGTGCTCCTAGGGAACTGACGGTATAAGGAGATAAGGAAAGGCCCTGCAGTCAAAGAAAGAAGGCATCAGACATGTCTCACTGTGACATATGCAGGTGTTTATGAAACTCTGGGATTTCTAAGTAAGAATGCAGTGCAGAGAAAGGTCCCAGAGGAGACAAGAGCTGAGAGACCATCCAAATTGGGAACCACCTTGTCACTAGACTTCAAATTTTCAATATTTATAGTGTTTTCTAAGAGTCAGGCCCTTTGCTGAGTTCTATGTGCAGCAGGATCAAAGGCAGCCAGGAGGCAGAGGAGTCTTGAGGTACATCAGTCACGGGGGCTGAAGAGCAGAGATTCAAAGGAAAGCTGGGACTGGAGCTTTAAAGGAGAGATGAAGCTGGTGACTCCCCTGTGTCAGCCTCTGACTCAGAAAGATGGAATGCAGTAGCACACACCCCGTGGGCTTACTCCCAGCTGAGTGTTGTATCCCCCACCGCTTTCCACCTGGTCCCTTCATTTTCTACCCCTCACAGTCCCCTAAGGAGAAGGTGGTCCACCCAACAGATGATGCAGTCCCAGATGGTGATCAAGGGGGACCCTAAGGAGAAGTCATTTCATCCTCCCTTTGTGCCCATTTGTCAAGTAGCAGTGAGGCTGAGCCAGGGGATGGTGAAAGTGGAAGGAGGTGGGAGTTGGGCATGGGCTGTGAAGATGCTCTTTAAAGGGATTCTAATAACCATTTACTACCAGGTCAGTGAACACTTACCACAGTTGACGCCTTTTGAGCACATCACATTGTAAACTGTCCCTGAAAGTCCTGTGCACTTGGCTTATGGGATGAAACATCCTTCTAGTTCTCCTGTCCCTCAGGTTCTTTGAAGTCTCATTGAGCACCTTCCCTTCAGCTCCTTTTACACAGTAAGAATAGGATCAGCTGTGCTAAAGTAACAAACACCCAGATATCCAGGTTTGGCTCATGCTACACGTCCAAAGTAAGTCGTCCAGGAAGCTCTGCTCATCATCTTACTCAGGAAGCCAGGCTGACAGGCTTTCTCCTGCACCTCTGCTCCCAGAACCTCCCCAGAAGAATGAAGGGAACCTAAGAAAGCATTCACTGGCTCTTAATGATCCCTCCTAGAAAGAACACACTTCTCGCATCTCATTTTCCAATGTAAATCACATGGCTGCAACTAATTTCAAATGAGTGGGAATCCTTGAAAGTGGAAAATATTTAAGCAGTACATATTAAATAAATAATAAAATACTTCTACAAGAGATATTTATGGAAGACCTACTGTGTACCAGGAGCAATGCTAGGCATTATGGATATCAGTAGCCTTTGGCTCCTAAAAAGTTTACAAACTACCTGCTGGCCTAAGGAAAGGCACAGGGATACTGGCAACAGTCTATTTCTTCACCCAGGTGCTAGTTACATGAGTGCTTGTGGTGATAATCATTCAACGTACGTTCTATTGGTTTGTGTGTTTCTTCCAAATGTCCCCTAGCTCACAATAAAAGGGCTTAAATAGAGAAGTAAAGGAGAATTTGGGAATTTGAAGCAAAAGCAAGAAGCCAATGAATCAAGCACAAATACTGAGCTTTGATAAAGATTGGAATAAGAAACATAATAAATGAGATAATAAATAGGACTTTTGCAACTGAAGTGTAATTAATAAGCAAAAAGTCAGGCTGAGAAACTGCCCCAAGGAAAATATGATGGAGTAAACCATAGAAAATGTAAAGGAAAAGTGAAGAGAAATGAAGGATAGAAACAGACATCTGACATCTTGATAATTAGACATCTAGAAAGTCAGGGAAATAGTGGAGGGAGAGGAAATAACCGAAAACATAATGTTTAGTCTTTATAGAAAGATGAGATAAGTTCATTCAAAATGCTGCATAGAATGTCAGACTATTTGTTAAACAATTTTGTTAGAGCGAAATGACTGAAAACAAACAAGATAATTATGTGAATTAAGAGGATGGAAGAGTAGAAAAACAGAAAAAAGAATATACACGTAAACAATAAGGACAAAAGCTGAATTCAATGAAATATAAAAATAGGGAAGACAAACAAAATCAAATTTTGAGGCAATGAAAACTTAATGAGACCTCTGGAGAGACTCCTAAGGAAAATACAGGAGATTCAGAATGAAAAGGGGAAATGACTATTTGTACACACATTTTAATATGCAAAAATCTTACAACCAACTCTATACGTATAAATTTGAAAATTTAGATAAAATGGATACATTTCTAGAAAGATATAAAGGTCAAAACGACAGGAAGAAATAGAAAACTAAAATAGAGTAGAGAATATCAAAGAAATTGTCATGGGAAGCAAAGAATCGCCTTCCAAAAGGCCCTGTCCTGATCATATTGCCATTAGGGGCATCTTCCCACATTTCCAGGAGCAGATTATGCCTCTTACATGTGTGATTCTAGAAAACAGAATGGAACAGCATTTTTGAGATCATTTTATGAGGTTGGTTCATTTGTATTTCCAGAGACAGTCACTGAATCTAACAGTACATTATAAAAACAATCAGTTTTGACCAATTTAGATTTATTCTAGGAATGCAATGATCCTTCAGTGTCAGAAAATATATAACGTGGTTAACACATTAGTGGACTCCACAAAATTCATATTAATTTAAACTGAATTCAGCTCAAGACATAGACAGAATTTAATCAATTTCATGACGTGTTAAAGATAGTGAACCAAAAGTCTATAGCTTATATATTTCAAAGAAATGAGGTGGATTCCCTGTGAGATTGTGCAAAAGATAGGATGTCCTTCGTTGCTGGAAATGTTTAACGTGGCATTGGGAGTTCTGAACATCCCTCTGCGGGCAGAAGAAAATTAAGGCTGTGTAAAATGGAGGAAGACAGATTGTGGGTGCAGATGAAATAATCTAATACTGGACAAGACTGCAGCCACTGTTGGTCCAAAGCCTGAGTTTAAATCCAAGCTTTGCACTTTGAAGTTGTGTGGCCTTCACCTCCCCCCGTGTCTGATTCACCCTCTGTAACATGAAATAAATAAGAACCAATCTCCACATGTAAATAAGTGAACACATGAGAAGCACTTAGAATAGTGCCTGGAACACAGTAAGCAACCCAATGAATGTCATTTCTCATTACATTTGTTAGTGTTTTCATCCAGCCCAATGGCACTAAAACATCAGTGCTCAAAGAGCCCCTGGTGAAGTGTTTCTCTTTCCCATTCTTCACCCCTAACTTTTTATCTCGTCTATTCCACTGTGTCCCTAATGCACCTCTAGGATGACTCACAGGAGCCCCTGGACCCAGGGATGCTGTCAGATCGCTTGGTCTTTGAGACGATGGTGCCATTGAGGATCCCCGCCAGGCCCATCAGCAGGCCGA